CAAAATTTCTTGCTTAAAAATTGTATGTCTATAATTTGATTGACAAGTTTACAATTTTCTTTATGTTTATCACAATATTGAAAACTGTTTATTATTCAACAAATTGTACTTATAATTTATTTCTGTTTTTGGAAAAAAAAAAAAAATAGTTGCGTGCGTGTAAAAAAAAACATATTAATGTTTCCTAAATCCAAAAAACCAATTTACCTCTATGCTTAGATACACACACAACCGTTGGTTAATACAGTATTACATTTTCGAATAATAAGATCCATTAGTTAGCCTAACAAACATGGGCACATGAACTAATCTAAAATTGGGTGATAAAATTGGAATAAAATAAAAAATGACTATCAAGGTAAAAAGAAAAATTATTTATTTAGACTTTGACGCAATCACATAATTAATTACTGACTTATAAGTTATATTAGTTCATTTTGTTCCAAATTTGCGAACCTATCACTCTGGCCGGTTGAGTACGGATGCAAGAACTAGTAGGAAGGAATTATTCTAAATGTATATTTTTGTTTCCATTAAGGATGACATTCCCTCTATGTGTCAAAATTTTACCAATGGTGTGAAGGGGTGTTGGGAAAATCAAAGGCTACGATAAGTGCCATACGGAAGAATGTCAAAGTTAATGTAAAAAAAACAATGTATATGTATCAGGTTTGAATAAGAAACGTATCACATAATTCTGTGATATAAGAAGAACGAGAAAACTTTAGAAACTATTTGCTAATCAATATATAATTTCGAGAAGAAACATATTAGTTTGCGAATAATAATATAATTTCGAGAAGAAATACATATTTTTTACTTGTAAATTTAGTCGTTTAGACAGACATTTTTCCTCCTTTTTTAAAGTTTAACCTCCACAATGTTTTATTTTTGAGTCATGCGACTCGTACAACCCCTTTTATAACTTCTTTTACAACTTTTGACTTGTCAAATATCATATCTATTCATTTAAAAACTGTTTTTGAGATCAATGATCAAATTTTTGACAACACATGAATTGTCAAACTAGCTATTAACAAAGGTTATATAACTAGTTTTATTCTTTAGTTTTTCAAATTTGATCCTAATTAGAGCCGTTCGAGCCCTATTTTTGACTAAGAATGTATTTTGGAATAGTAGATTGATGGATAATGTGTGGTTAAATAATAATAATTTTTTTGAGTTTTCATATACTATTATTTTATTAAAAAATGTGATTGAAAAGAAGAAAAAAAAATTATTTTAAAAATAATAAAGATCAAACAATGGCTTAGTAGAACACGGGCCACAACTCCCCAGTTTTTTAAAGTTTAACCTCCACAATGTTTTAGTGAAACTTTGGATTAATATCAAAAACCCTCCTTAAGAACGTTTTCATTTGCGATATACCTCATATTTGAAACATTTTATACAAAAAACCCATGTCGTCAAGATCCGTCAGATTTATCGTTAAAACAGTAAAAAAAATGTCAAAATTAAAAGGAATAATATTAATTTTAGTCCCCAAACTTTTTATTTTTTTTACAAATTATACCCAATTTTTTATATGTAGCCCCTACAATCCCAAACATTTAAAACTTTATTTTCTTCCACACCTTCAATCATACCTAATTAAACCAAAATCAAAACACAGAAAATCCAATTAAATTTAGAACTTTGGGATACTCCTCAAAACCAAAATCATTAAGAAATTATCATATAAATCTATATAGATTTAGCGGGATTGTCACTAGTGTCGTTGTGGTCAACAAATGGGTTCACACTCAATCCACCAACCTAAAAGTTGGATGTCGCTCCCCATGCGACCCATTTAGGTATGTGCCTATCTCCAAACAAATCGTCGTTGTCTAATGTCTTAAAAGGAAAGAAAGCAAGGTCTCCATAGCCTTCTCATTCTGGGAAATCGAGTCGCCCCCATTTATAGGGTTGTTTCCATAGAAGTTATCAAAGGGCTTTGTCTTAGAGCCAGACGAGCCATTGGCAAAAGTTTTGTTCTCAATCAATTCCTCGTCCTCTCATACCACTACCTCATCGTCACTACTGCTGTTACCACCATTTGATGTTCCATTCAAATATATATCATCCATCATATCACGAAGTGAAGTGCTCCCGAGTGCATCACCAATTTTGTCATCTTGGAAAGTAAACCAATGGAGTTTATAAACAGACTTCTGAAAAAAAGAATCAAACAGTTTCAAACAATGACAAATAGACTTGCTTGATAGCCAGATTCTAACTTCTTGCGCATCACTGAAGCCCACACAATAATATTGCACAATAAAGGCAAATAATAAATTTATTTGCAAGTGTATTTTCGATTGCTGGGGTAGTTATGAATCCCAAAGTTTTGAATTTAATTGGATTTCATGGGTTTTGATTTTGGTTTAATTAGGTATGGTTGAAGGTAGGGAAGAAGATGAAGTGGGGTGATGTAAAAAATAAAGTTTTAAAAATTTGAAATTGTAAATGCTGCATATAAAGAATTCGGGTACATTTGTAAAAAAAAAAAAAAAATTGGGTACTGAAA